ACTAATATGAACAAAGATTAATAAATTCTGTAATAAATATATTGTTCATGTTAGTTAATACATTAACTAACATTAACTAATGGAACCTTATTGTAAAGTGTTACTTTAATATTAAATATCAATATATATTATATTATATATTTTTATTCACTTCTATGTAACAGAATCAGATATAAGTTGTTGTTGTTTTTTTTTGGACTAATTATCCAAATAATGTATAGTCCTACAAAGCTATTATTATCAGATCATGTGAGCAGAGCCTAGCGTCACTGAAGGTAGCATAATTTTACCAGCGTTGCCCAGTACAGCTGAACTAGCCTACACCATGTTACAGCACAGTAGCGCTGCTGCAAACCGGAACAAGTATACTGCATAGAAATTTCCTGTCAGCGCGTTATTTGAGCGGACTTTGCTTTTCCGGTGAGCATGAGCGGTACACGAGCAGAACGCACATTCATAGATTGGAATATTGAGAGGAGCGTCAAACCGTGCAGTGATGAGGAGAGTGAAACCTGCATGCTGAACACTGCTGGGCGCCATATATATTATTATTATATGTAGCCTATATTTTCGGCTCGCATTTTCGGCCGTTTTTCTCTTTCGGTGAAAATTCGGTGCATCCCTAATTTTTAGTTATTTTATATTTTATTTTTGTACAATTTTTCAGTCCTGTTACCAACACTTTTAACTGTATGAACACAGTTTTAAATCCTGATTTTAATTAGTTTTTTTTTGTTACTATTTTTCAGTCGTTACATGTTTAACTGTATGAATACAGTTTTAAGTAATGATTTTGATTGATTGATTGATTGATTTGATTTTTCAGTACTGTTACTTACACTTTTACCTGTATGAATACAGTTTAAAGTAATGATTTTTAGTTATTTCATATTTTATTTTTTGCAGTTGTCAGTCCTGTTACCAACACTTTTAACTGCATGAACCGTTTTAAATCTTGATTTTAATTAGTTTTTTTTGTTGCTATTTTTCAGTCCTGTTACTGATGTATTTGACTGTATGAATACAGTTTTAAGTAATGATTTTATTGATTGATCGATTGATGTTTTTCGGTCCTGTTACTTACACTTTTAACTGGTTGAATACAGTTTTAAGTAGTGATTTTTAGGCTACGTCCACACGGAGCCAGAGCTTTCCCTATCCGATATTTTTTTTCCCCTCGTCTCATGAAATATCTGCGTCCACACGAAACCACAAAACCGACACAAAACAATGTAGTATACATGCCAGACCAATATGTGGCACTGTAATTCTGCCAGATACACTAAAAACGGAGAAGAAGACTTGGACTATGCATGCGCATAAACCTTGTGCGCGTTATACAAACGAACATGGAACAATACATTTATTAATCTGTGTTAATGTTAGTTAATAAAAAGACAATCGTTCAGTGTTTGTTCATGTTTTTGTTGCTGTTACGTGACGTAGCGGTACTAGGGGCGAGACGTGGGCTGATGACGCCACCGTTTCAGAAAATATACGGATTCGCTGTCCACACGAAAACGCTAGGGCGGCGTTTTCAGATTTATCCATCCTGGGACCCGGTTTCAAAAAATATCGGTTTCACTCTCCCAAAACGCCGGATCCGTGTGGACGAAACGCCTATACGATACAAAATGTATGTGTATACAGCTAAACGCGTCTCCGTGTGGACGGGTCCTTAGTTTTTTGTTTGTTTGTTTTTTGCAATTTTTCAGTCCTATTACTGACATGTATAACTGTATGAAATCAAATATAACTGTATGAAATCATTTTTAAGTAATGATTTGATTGATTGATTGATTGATGTTTTTCAGTCCTGTTACTTACACTTTTAACTGTATGGATACAGTTTTAAATCCCATGACATCTAAAATGTTTTAAATCCCATGAATATTTATCCTGCAAAATTGTCATATTTAGCTGTCTTGTTTTTTCACAATAATAAGAGTGTTAGTGTTGTTAATTCTTACGCAATGCTCTGTTTTGTTGTTTGTGTCCCCACAGAAGCAGCATAACCTGCAGGTTTTGGGTTTAGTAAAATCTGATGAAGGTTTTTATCAGTGTTTAGCGGAGAACGACGCCGGGAACGTCCAGGCGAGCGCTCAGCTGATCATACTGGATTTAGGTAAACTCCCTCTCCATATATTTGCATATATTTCTGTGTGTGTTTATGCAGAAATGCTCGTCTTAAATGAAGAAACTTCATTAAACTTGTGCGGGAAAGCCAGAGCCAAATCCCTCAGAACTCGAGTGTTTATTCTAGTTCGGTGATGGGCTAAAGACTTGCCAAGACTCACCGATTGATCTTTTGACAGGAATTAAACACAGCAATCTTTATCACAGGATGGGTCGTGGCAGTCCGTCAGTGATGTTTTCTGGGGATGAGTCCAAACGCTTTGTGACTTTAATGTTATTATGATTGTTTTACAGCGTGTCATAAGCGTGAGAGCCACATATTCACATTTTCTGCTGCTAACTCGTTGTGAGGGTGTTGTGAGAGGTTGTGTTACTACAGTATGCATGTTGCTAAGACATTCTGGACGGTTTTTACAGCACAGTTTAGTCTATTTTTGTTTTGTGTTGTTTTTCTGTAGCTCGTCTCTCCATCTCAGGCTTCACACGCATGCATTCGTACTCACGTTTCCACACACTGAATGAAGGCTTGAACACATGTTCTCACACGTCAAGCAGAGGCGTAAATGATGCCGCATTGATTGGATGGCTGGTGCGAGATCTGTTTCGCACCTGGCGCGGGTGCGAGTCTCCAGCGTAGAGATCTCGCTGCTGAATGTTTAATTAACCGTGCCACTTTATTAAAAACGTGTGCATGCTTTTCATTTTAACGTGCGCTGTGTTGCATTAGCACCTCTCGACAGAGACCCGAATTATGTGTGCAGAACTCTGGATGTCATTTAATAATCTGGGTTCCTCCAGCGGATGCGTTAAGGAGGTTTAGTTTGCAAACAGAGACTTGAACTCGCTGAACGGGACACGCCATTAATTACTGATCGGATTCCAGTGCAGATGAAGTGGATTTAAGTCCTCATGGGAAGTTTTCAGAACTGATTTTGGCCTAAAAAAGTTATTTCACATGTCAACAAGCACAGGAACCTTTTTTTTTTAATGCTGGTGCAAAACAACGGAAGAGCAAAGGATGTGTGTTAGGTGTGTGTTGCCCCAGAGAATGATGGGAAATATAGTTTGGTTGTGCTAAATTTGTATTTTCCGCCAGGTTTATTGCTTCATCAACAGTACATGAAAAGTGAATTAACAAATTTTGAAATAAAGATCATCCAATGGCGCAAGTTTGGGGTGGAGCTATCTGTTTTGCCAACCAATGACAGACTTTGTATGTTTTCCACTTGTAATTACAACGTTGTAGAGACGTTTATTAATTTGCTTGTATGTGATTATCAAACATTAACATTATTATGTTTTTCTTACATTTTATTTTATTTTATTTGTTAAAGTATAAATAATTTGTTAAAACTAATTATTAACATTTAACCCTTAATTTAAAATGAACTAATATTTATTATTAGTGGTCTAATAATAGTGGATATATCGGCTGATATTTGGCATTTTTTAAAGATAGGCATCGGCCGATACGTTTTCCTGTTTGGCCAATGCGTTCAAGGTCTACCGATATATCGGCAAGGCCGATATTTGGCATTTTTTAAATATCGGCATCGGCCAATACGTTTTCCTGTTTGGCCGATGCGTTCAAGGCGGGACTTTTATTTTGGTCATTTCCACTGTGTGCTGTATGTAAAATGAGTGTTACCTTGGCTTTATTTGAAAAAATATGATTCCCAAATCCCAATGCACACAAACTTCCCAGAATACTGAGTGCCCTGTTGGTTACAGTGTTTACTTCCTTTTTTTATTATATTATTTATTAAATATTAATTTATTTGTGAAAAATACTTGTCATCTAAAGTAAAAGTATGTTTATTTAACACATTTACTTTTTAATCCATTTTCAAATGATTTCAAATTTCTTAAACATTAATTAAAATAAATAAAATTATATCGGCTTTATATCGGCCATTGGCCACCCTGCTTTCCAAGATATCGCCATCGGCTGTCAAAAAAACAATATCGGTCGACCACTATTTATTTATATTATTTAATATAATTTAATATTAATGTTCTTTAATATTTAATTAATATTTCAACAACAATTATTTGAATAATATTTTTACATTTCTTTTATTTATTTTAATTTAGTGTAGTATTGTTAGTTTTATTTATTATTATTTTATTTATGTTTCTTTTTCAAGTTCCCGACAGGGAGAAAGAAAAGAGGAAAATTTAATTATGATGGTTAAAAAGAGACCCTTAATTTTAACTTCAATATCTTAATATCTAATGTCATTTAATATTAATATTATTTTATTGAATTAGTATTTCAGCTAATATTTAACTAATAATATTGTTATAATGTAATTTAATTTATTTTATTTTAATGTGGTATTTTTCATTTCATTTATTAATAGTCGTAGTCGTAGTACTTCCCGACAGTAGTGATTTTCCTGAGAGCGGTTGTGTTGTTTTCCCTCAGCACCTTTTAGAAACAGGACCACTTTATAATGGCAGGGAGGAGGAGAAGAAGAAATGAAATCCTGATAATGAAAGAATCGGTCAGCAGGGGCGATCTGTCACGTTGGAGTTTAGCTGGCACTTGTTGACAGCTGATTTCAGTGATTGAAGCGTCACTCTCAATTATTGATTATGTCTCTGTTGTAGTTTGGGTTGGAAAAGGAAAAGTCTCTGTTTGCTCTTCGTGTAATCTCTTTGTTGTTTAGGAGGAACTGTTGTAATAAATGCAGGCGTATAGATGGAGTTCGTCCAGTGAACCGTTGTGGCCTCTCCTCGGTGTTTCTGATGTGGTTGTGTGTCTTTCGCTGCATGAGATCTTTATTTCCTCTGAACATTTGCTCTCAGCCTCTCCAATTACGCAAGAGCTTTGTTTTGATTAACGAAATAATCCACTTCAGGACACTTGGAAATCAGTCCAGGCCCTTCTGTTGATTCTCCTGCTGTGTATGTACACGACCCTTCACAAGTCATTTGCATTAGAGGTTTCTTCGTTTGGTTCTCAGAGAAGAAACATAAAGGGTTAGTTCATCTAAAAATGAAAATTAAATCATCCTGAACCTTATTGTTGTTGTTTGTTTGTTTGTTGTTGTTATCAGTAATACATGTAAACTAAAATAAAATACAATTATAATACAAAATTATCATAAATATAAAATTATTATTATTATTGTAAATAATGATCGTTGTTAATAATAATAGGAAATGTAAAATCTAAAAAATATCATACTGAAATAATAATGAATTTTAATTGTACATTTTATTAATAATATTAATGTTAAATATTAAAGTATTCATTAAAATTTACCAAACTAAATTTATGTTTGAGTTTATGATGGCAGAATTTAATCTCAGATATATTGCATGGATTTCAGAGGAACGGACACCTGTCACACACTGAGTGTTAGATGGAGTGTGAATGCTGGTTTCACAAGCCTCCATGCTAAAACACTTTTTTTTTTTTCTCAGGCTTTCATTCGTCCATTACAGTACACACCGAGTACAGTGCCAGCACATGATCGCTCTCGTTCCAGCTGCAATTATGTCTCTGACTGTAATGAGATCTGCTAGCATGCTGCGGATTACATTCTGTTAAACATGTTAATGTCATGCATTACGCCGAGCTTGATGGTAGGGGTGGGCGGTTTGACAGAAATCCTCTCAATATCACAAGATATAGTCAGTTTTGCTGAAAATCAATGAAACAACAAAATAAAACAATGTAGTAATGCCTTTTATTTAAATAATCAAGTGAATAAAACACTTTACAAATGGAAGGTACTTCATTTATTTGATTATTGTTTTTACATTTGGACCATGAAACCATATTTGCATTATTTGCATCTTTTCCTTTCCTTTTCTGTGATAAACCCATCATATATATATATATACAGTGGGTACGGAAAGTATTCAGACCCCCTTAAATTTTTCACTCTTTGTTATATTGCAGCCATTTGCTAAAATCATTTAAGTTAATTTTTTTTCCTCATTAATGTACACACAGCACCCCATATTGACAGAAAAACACAGAATTGTTGACATTTTTGCAGATTAA